CCTTTTCCGTCTTTTTTAAGTAATGTTTTTAAATTAAGCATTAGTGGCAAGATTATTTAAATTAAAATGTTATGCAGTAACCTTTACGAGGAATATTTTACGAGACTAGTAGTCATAAAGAAGAAAACGAAAACACACAGAAATAATGAACTATATAAAAATTCTCACCTTGTCAGTTAGCACTTAATTGGGTAACATTTAGCGTCTATGACAACATTACAGCGCCTTCCCATAAAGTAAACCAAGTATTTGGGTTTTGCAGCTATGGTAATATGAAACCAAGATTAAGTTACTGCCTCTATTACTTGAGTTCTATTCATGAATTATTTTTGCCTTTTCTATTTGAAATATTATTAATTAATTCAGTTACAAATTTTAAATTATTCGCCCAAAATAAAATAAAAATCTCCCTTCTCAGCATAACAGTCGTATGTGTACCAGATATTTTCAGAGGAAAAAAAAAAAAAAGCATATTTTTTGGGCGTCTATTGAGAAATTTTGACGTATGAAAGCTGCTAATTGTATTAACTGAAACTTTTCAAGAAGCAGCGAAAGCAAATCAAATAAATATAAAAGAATTTTCTGTAACTTAATAAATGAAAACGCATTTTTTATGAGAACCATACTTTTTAAAAGGATATTTGTTTCAATATTTTAATTGATAATAAAACACGCCAGCAGAAAAATGAGCAAAAAAAAATAGTCCCTGTTGGCTAAACTCATGTTTTAAGCCAACCAAAAAAATCCTATGAAAATTTAAAAATTATATCACTCTTGAGATCCTTGTTTTGAAACTCTGGTAATGAGGATGCATGTAAAATGCTACGGTGAAAAAAATTTTAAATGCTTTAGGCATAGGAATTTCAGACATTTCCCGCCAACTTACGCTGAGTGTATTTTACCTTCTTATCTAGAATATCATCTGCTGTAAAATTATAATAAATCGATAATGTGCAATTTATGTACTGTATTTATGCTCATTAAATATTCAGTTTAGTTTTGAAAAGCTTAACCATGCTGTTGCTGTTGTCTAGTCCATGAATTTTATGGAAAAGAGTGGTTGCCAGAGCCTCAGGGATGTTGAGCTTCTACTTTCTCGCCCCCAGTTTTGAGGGAGAGCGCCCCTCTTTCTTAAAACAAACCATACGAGAGGGCTTTCGACTAGATACATATAGAGAATATTCCCATGCCGCAAAGACACTGTACATAGAGAAACAGCCATGCCTTCTCCGGGATTCGAACTCGGGCTCTTCGGTACCACAGTAGCGGCAACTAACCACCATACCGTCTGGGCGGCAGCTTAATCATGATGATAGAATTGAAATTCTTGACAAAAAAAGTAGTTACGTAAATTTAATTTAGATATTTTTAATTAAACAAAAGTTTTACTACCTTGCATTTCTTCAAAAGTGTCACTATACAGGTATACAGGTCCTTTAGTTTTTTTTTTAGATTTTTACTTGTCCATTCTTTAAAAAAAGCACAGCTTCACTCAATCATTTAATTTTTTCAATAAAATAGATTCCACGGTTTTATATATTTATTTCAGGTTTCTCAGGAATTGGAAAATAGGATTGTTTATCTTGCGTAAAATTATGAAAGAAATTGCAGCATTACGCCGTGAGACGTTCCTAAAATAATTAAATCTATCATTCTTTTTTAAAATTTAGACTCATGAATAAAATTCATTATTTTAATATTTTTATTTATGTAATCAGGATGTAATAAATATTTATAAGATAACATTTATTTTACTTTACTTATGCTAGGTATAATTTAAAATTAGGTTTAATTTTACCAAAACAAACTATGCATAGTTGGAATATATTTTAGGCTGTTGATAAGCTGTTATATATTTACATATTCGAATACGTTTATCAGTATCTTATAAATATTTCCCAAACTCATTAATTCATAGCACTCAGCAGAAAACAGTGTTTTCTTTGGTATTATACCTGAATAATTGGGCATCTTGGAAATAATGTCATTTCTCTGTTAACTGGATATAAAATGATTTCGGGATACTTGCTAATAAGAGAAGCGATAAAATACCAAATGTCGTTTCTCTTAAAGCCAAAAATAGCTAACGACAGATTTTATTTCTGTAAAACTTTTCCTTCTGTAATAGAACAAGTTTAATCTTCAGTTTTCCAGCTAAAAATTTAATGCGAGAGATTAAGGCTTATTTAAAAATTGTAAAATGTGTAATATATTTAAATCATTTTTATTTTTCTTTAGATAGCTTCACTAAATTGGCGACACTTTGTTTGCGAAACTCTTATTCGCCAGCTCGTAAACTATTGACATCTGCGCCCAGCTGACATAATACTGCAGAAATATATAATGTGAAATAATAATTTATACCCATAAATAATAATTAAAAGTTTCTCAAATTAAAATTTAGTAAGTTTCTCATAATGCTTCAGATTGAACTGGAATGAGTAAGAGAAAAAGTTTAAAAAAATACAAGGGTGTATTTTGTTGTTCGTAGGGAGAAATTTCGTATACTCAAACACACATCAATTGTACACTTCATAAAAATTTATTCTACACAAAAAATGTTGATTTTCAGTGTTCACGAAACAATAGAAACCAGAGTGACGTCAGAAAAGTGGATATTTCAACACTGGTACTGGTAATACAGTTTTTGTTTTATATCCATCAAATTAATTCACTTAAATTTATTCCTTAGGATGATTATAGTTGAATGTTAAAATTTCCTATTGAAGTCACAAAACGAAACCTTAAAGCCCATCGCATGCATAATACACTGTAAATTATTAGTAAGTGCAAAGAGAAAATTTTGTACAGCAATTAGGATAGTCAAGGGTTCCCATCATATATATTTCTCTTGCTTGTGTATCTTCGTAACCTAATTAGCTCGGAAATCATTCTTAACATAGTCAAAAAAGCCTTTATAGGTTATGATTGACTAAACTTTAAGAACATATTTAAAATACTTACAAAAATGAGTCAAAGTGGGATTAGTATAGAAATAATGCTATTTATGCAAACAACAGTAAACTAGCACTATCCAGTTCAAATGCGGCATATAGTCAGACTACTAGTACTAGATATAAACAAAAAAAATTAATGATTATTTTTTTGATTATAAAATTAAATATAGTACACTCAACACTGAAACCAAATGTATAAATAGCGCGCCAAATAACTCCGAATCAAAGTAAAAAAAAATACGCGAATGATGCCGAATTTAAAAAAAAAATAACACGCCGACAACCATTTATCAAACAATTCAAAAACAGGAAATGAGGTAATTTTTATAAAGCTGCAGTACTAATTTGGAAGGTTTGAATATGATATAGGATCTTCTTCTTCAATTCACGAAGGAAAATAACGAAAGACAAGCCTGTGCTCAGGCGATACCAGTGAAAACATAGACAAGAAAATTCAAGAAAGTTCCATCAAAAAAATAAAAAATAACTACTAGCTCTATCTGTTAATGAAACATGAAACTAACTTATGAAATAAATTTCTTTAAAAGCTAGGGCTAAATTCCGTTTGGAAATCTACTGCTGCTTATTTAAGGATCCCATTCCGGATATGAAATCCTGGGATATACAGTATCTTTTGGCAGTGTGGTTTAATATACATTTAGTCAACCTAAGAAAGCCTTAAAACCTTTTGAGTGGCATGGCGGCCTCTATCCGGTATTTTTTGTTACTTGGTATATATTAGCTAATAATGTAAAATATTTTTTCTTGCTTTCTCCAATCATGTAAATATCATCTTAATGAGCGGAAGTTTATTAAAACAAAGACTTAACTAGGTAATTACATAAATGTATCTAGTAAACACTGCTTAAGTACAGGTTTTTGTGTGCAGTTGCAAAAAGTTGTGCCACACCGAGGGTTTAAATTTTGCACTATGAAACATGAATGTGTTTTCGAATCTTATTTATAAAAAGACCATATTTTGCATTTTTATGCAGTCAAAATTTTTAAAAAAGCATCGTCCTTTGACGAAATAGATTTTCTAGAGGCGTTTTGCAGTCATTAAAGTTTTTCAACTCTAATGAATGATCTATATTCTAACCCGAATTTTTTACCTTTAAGAAAATAAAAAGCTTTCAGATTTTATATCACCCCCAAAGAAGCGTTTTTTTTTTCATTTATACATACACACACGTTTCGAGATCACCTGGTCTAACGCCCCTTTATGTTAAAAATATTCAAAAGTAGCATTTCTTTAGGATTTCCGATAGACAATCTCGCGCGCTGGAGATACAATTTGTTTTATTCTTTACAGTTTTGCCACTGCTCGCTTTGAAATCGTTGACTTTCTTAATCAAAAATTCGGTAAAGTTTAAAAAAAAATCTAAAAATAGATAATAAAACAAACTCCAAATTCAAGATTCGGGCTTCCAGTTGCATATCTTCGGATGGAGGATTATGTTATTCAGAACTCGATGGCTCTAGGTATCATTGTTTCTTAATAATGCGAGAAACATACACGCATTTATGCAGATTCTTCATTATTAAATTTCTTTAAAAGTAATACAGGATGGTAATATTTGGTGGCAACAATTTGAAAAGTGATACGGTGTGATTTATATATATATAGTGATTCGACGCAAAATGCCGTTGCTAGAGTAATGGACCTTCTAGGCTAACAACCCTTTCGGCTAACAAAAATTCAATTTTCATCAATAGATGGCCAGCAGCTACATCTATTTTTTTATTTAAAAATTTTTTATGGAACTTTTTCGAAATTCCTTGTCTATTATATTAACGGTTATTAAGGGAATAGAGTTTTTAAGTAAATTATTTTTAACGCGGGACTATTTCGTAAATGATCAGCTTTGCTCTCGACCCTTAAAATTCCTAATAACTAAATGAAGAAGTAGATTATGTGAATTATTCATCTCATTAACATTTAAATTTGTGTATCATGTGGGAATAAAATTTTTCAAATTATTTGTTAAATATTGTACGATTTGAATACAACTTATGAAGCCGTAATATTTATTTTGTCTTTAGATGTACCTCAAGTGATGCTGAGCTTGAAAATTGATCATGGGAAACAACAAGCGGCTAGTGAAGGCAGCGATGTTCGCTTTCTTTGCGACATCAAAGCAAACCCTTGGGTCGTGGATGTTGGCTGGCTTTCCGAAGATGGAAAGATGTCGCATGAACCAGATATTGGAGTCATCATTGCAAACAATACGCTAATTATTAAGAGAGTACAAAGAAAACACGCTGGAAACTATCAATGCTATGCCACCAACAGCGAAGGAACAGGACAAAGTGAAAAGGTTTACCTAAAAATTAACTGTAAGTTTACTCTGCGTATTATATTTTTCAATATAATTTGCTTTAATAGTTTTATTTGAAATACTGTAAATTATTGAACAACTTTTGAAAAGCATTGGCATAATTTTAAATATTAAACTGGTTGCGAATCTTTTATATTGAATCTGTTTATTTAAATTTTAACTCAACTTTTATAAGTTATTTCTGTGATTTTCCAAAGTATTATATGAGAATCGTAGAAAATTTATATTAGTTTTCATAATTGTGGTACAGAGTCGGAGGAAATATGAAGTAATTGTTGCAGAGTTCAAAGTTCTAACTCAGTATTTTCTCTCCTTTGCTACTGCGCGATCCTAGAAAGAATTTCATTCAAACTTTTGTTGAAATTTTCATATTTAAATAATCTTTTGGATTTTGACTACCAAACTTTTAAACATTAGACCGAGACCTTAAGAAAATGTAGTTTAAAGTAATAAACAAGTTCAGCCTTTCTAAAAACAATAATGAACCTATCAAGATTTCTTGTTGCAGATCCATCAGTTTTTGGTATGTGATAAGTGCAATATGCGACTTTGTATTTCTTTGGTAAACTAGACTTCTTGTATGTTTTTGTATCTCATCAGAGAACATTTAATGCTTTCTGAACATCCTCAAACAGTTGCCTATCTAATTCAAATATCTAATATTGAAAGTTTTTAATAAAGTACTTAAAAAACTTTAATGAATTCAAAAAATGCTTTTAGTAATTGTTTTAACAAATGCTTACAACAAGTATGCAATATTTTTTTAAGTAATGAAGCAAATATTAATTAGAAATAGTTATTACGTTCAAATTAAAACTATATAGATAAATTTCAAACATATTCGCATAATTATTATCAAATCTATGTAATATACATTATAAAATGCATAGCGGTCTCAATACGTTCACATGTATGCAGATTTAAAAATTTTGCTATTGAATGTCTCTTTAATTTATTTTAGTGTCTCATTTCTCTTGTCACCTGATAAACTATAGCAACATATTAGTATATAACTTTAAAACATTTGCTCAAAACTACGATAAACCATTATGAATGGATTACACAAGTTTTACATTTAAATTTATCTGATAGTTTATCTCCCATTTAAAACTAAACAAAGAGCTACTTTCTAATAGACAGAAATCATTATATCCTAACGATAGTTATCAGACAGGACTAACTATTTGAATACCTTTAGTCTACTTGTTAAGGGATTCGGCAAAATGGAGTCTAATTATTCAGCTTCTTTCAATCAATGCAGGATATGGTATGTAGTCATTTACTATATCTTACTTTTGTCATGATACAATGAATTGTATGTCCAATCCAACAGTCTATCTCTCGTTAAATCTAGATGTTATGCATTACATGTCTCGTTCTTTATTAGAACTCTGAATAATAAACCCTTCATCTCGAGAATTAATTATACATGTATATATACGCATGTCTTTTACTGCACGTTTTACTGCATTTCCGTTTGCTGCAGATGTATGGAGTGAGTTGTCGTGCAAATAGCAATTGCATTGAGGGCATTAACAATCCGAGTCAGACTCACTAATTATATTTGCCTTTAACTTGCGTTGCGTCGAACTAACTCTTTTCGGATATGTTATACTGTTTTGAGAATTGTTGTACAACTACCTGTAATGTATTTTACATTTTCATATATTAAGAACTGCAACTTGCCACATAATATTACGTTATATTGAGGATTCGATAATACTTCGAACAACCGTGCATAAAATCTATAAAGTTTAATTTTTTAGCTATCATAAATTGTAACCAAACATTAGATAGACTGATCCCCCTTTGAAGCACGTCGTAGAGGTTCAACCTCTACTATTACCCCTCCAGGAACGCGGCGCACTACCTGCAGCTCACCAGGCAGCACTGGTCGTTTGATCTCCCTGGAGGGATCACCCCCTGCCACGGATCCACACCGCTCAGAATATGCGAGACCCCGAGGCCGGCAAATAAGTGATCTTTCCCAGGGCCTTCAGAACCACCAAGTTCAAAAATTTTATACCCCCGTGGCCGAGACTGCCTAGGTACAGATCCTAGCCAGTAGTTTCGTAGAATTCTCTACGTCGACCCCCAGGGGGAGATAGACTGGCAGTGAATTATCATTAAGCCTAAAATAACAACTGATACTGAAAAAGGTGTAAAAGATCCTTTTATTAAAATTAAAGAAGAACGCAAGGCACACTTGTTCATTACAACCCAACCAGCACTTATGGCAGATAACATAAACAACAGTAAGTTCAAATTTAAAATAAACTTCTACTCAAAGTCTACACAATTCATTTAATGAGAAGTTGATCACAAACCTAATCGGCATTTGTATTCAAATATTGAAAATTATAATTCAAGGTCGAAAGCTACAAATATAATCTGAGCTAGCAGCAACTTAGTTACTCACCCTCGAGAGGCAGAACGAGTTCCCTCTTACAATCTAAAAACTTCAGTTATTAATTTTCATTCGGGCATAGAATACTGAAGTGACAAACATTCAAAACGTAAAATAACTGGTTATATTAACATAATAGAAAGTTACAAATCTTGACAGTATTTCTAGGATATAATTCAGTATTCGTATCTCATAGTATATGATCAACTGTTGCCTATTGGTTAAGTAAAATAATATTTCTCTCTTAATATACAATTAAACAGTCTTTTACTATGAATGCGACTTGTCATTTCGCACAAACACTGTTGTGCACTGTAACATGAGTTTCAGCGAACCTGAAAGGCAGATTATAATACTATAAGGTATAAATAAATAAATAAATAACGTATATATATAAAAATAACATAAATATTAATTTACTATTTTCCATTAGTTATAGGCATAACTAATAGTCAAACCCTCGTCTTTAACAATTTTAAATCAGGTACTGCTAATACTTATTTTAAACGTTGCTCCCAACATAAAGGGACATTAGAAAGAAAACAATGAAGCTTAAATATTAAGCGTTAAAGAACAAAATTTTATGTTTGAATGTTGTAAATCGTATTTTTGTTTTGCTCATGCTGATTTATATACAATTTTCATGAAATGCATATTACAACACTTTTATAATAACAAAATATTTCTGCTGTTTGAAAAGATAAACGATATAAATATTAGCTTACCTTAAATATATCGTGACATGATAATACTTCGGGATCTGCAACATTATTCGGAAAATCTGCTTCATAGTAATAGCATACTTAATAAACTAGCGAGTTTATTTATCCCTAATTGATACCTGTGCTAATATAATAATGTACCATTGCTTCAGAAATATATTAAATGATATTGCTGCGTTTGTCTTCTGACACCAGTTGTTACGTTACTTTCTTCTTTCACGTTCGTACGGGGTTCGTATGGATTTGGAGTGAATAACGACGACAGCACTTAAATATCAAAACACACTTTTATTTAGCCAGTACTAATGAGGACAGCTTCAAATCTCGTTACAGTCGTCGACGAACTACTGTAAACACTCTGACACATTCAACTACACAGCCTTCAGGTTATCAGGCTATATCGGTTGAGACAGCTTCACTGCAAAGCACCAGAGTACAGCTCCCGACTCTGCTTGGTCGTTCTCGGAACTCCACGTACTCTCAAGTCTCTCCACGTTACAATTCGCGATGCACTCGAAAGAATATAGCTCTCGACTCAGCACAGTCTAAGACAAAACTCGACGATGCACTAACTCGTGATTCACTAAAAGACTCTCTCGATGCACTCGACGACTAACTCGGCGCTAGACTTCGAGACCCTCGCTCAATGACTGACTATCAGCTCGCTAGACAAGGCACACACACTCTAATTGCGGGCCAGCAGGGTTTATATAGCTTTCGGCTTGTGTTCGAGAACATTCTGGGCTAAACCGGTAAGAATTCGTTCCAGAAGGTTATCCAACCATCCATGGTATATCGAATTTTTTCGCCAAATGGGCGATTTCTCGCCAAATGTGACAACCCTGCCTTCCCTTGCTGTTTTATGGCAACCCTAAAACTGCTTTGCGGGAAAGCCGTCTTACCGCACCTGCTCATTTCGTAACAATAAGTAAACATTCATAACCGTAAACTGGAAAGATTAGACTAGTATCTGACTTTTCTCATTTTATTCAACGATCCAGCGATAAAAAATCAACAATATTACATTTATTTTGCTTATTTGTTTTATTACTTAAACATTACTAAATTTCTCAGTCTCCCCATGGTTATAAATTCCATTTCGAAAATGTAGTATTTAGTCTGCAAAAAAAACAAAAAAGTGCTAAAACTTTCCCAAAGAAATACTTTTAGCTTTGTTTCTCATGTGATGATGCATGAAATATATTTTACAATGTATCGAGCAACAGATGTAGCCAACAGATGTAGCATTTTTTAAACAATTTTTGGTTCATTATACTGGTTAGAAAAGCAAACAAATGGTATTAAAGTATTACATAGAATAGAAAATTATAATTTTATACTTGTGAACAAAAATACTAAACATTGTGTACAAACATTTAGAATGAAAATAATAATAAAAACAGATTTTATATGGTTTATATGGTATTTTATAACAGATTTTATATATTTTAATGCAGTTTAATTTCAAAGGGCTAAAAGTATTTTAAATAAGAGGCTCCGTTGCAAAATTAACAATATATTGCCTATGCAGTATGTAGTTTAGTCAATGTTTTCTAGCTTTTGTATCACAGATTGATTTGGTTTCAAGTTAGTTTTACTTACTAAAAAATAATCAAACTGGTTGTATTTTATCAACAGTGAAAGAAACCTCGATTAATTTGTTTAAAATAATTAGGCTTAATATGGGAAAACACTCATGAGATGAGGCACTTTTGAGGACTTTCTTAACGATATCGCTCATGTTTCAGTAGATGAAATGGGAAATACGAGAAACTATTACTATCTTTTCCACCACAAAGAAACACAGCGACAAGTTCTTAATGTTTATGCATTAGATATTTATTAGGCAACGACTTTAAAACAAATTCG